CTAAGCGATTTCATCCCTAAGCGATATTAAAAAGCCCATAGAAATGCATTAAAACCTGATTAATGTGTTCCTATGGGCTAAAAACTGAAATTAAAGCAAAGATCTTCCATAGGGGCGGCCATTTTCAGTGCCTCTAAAGCGAGGCAAAACAGCGGGCGGCCATTTTGTTTACTCGGCGGCCATTTTGGAACCGCCGATCTGCAAACTGAAAATGGCGGCTTTGCGATGATCGCTTCCCCGCTACCATCGCAAAGCAAAATTTCCCCATAGGAACCATCGCAAAGCAATCGCTCTTGCGATGGCAAAAAAGTCCATCGCAAAGCGATTTCATCGCTATATGGAGCGATCGCTATGCAAGGCACCACTGTATATTCCACAATTGCACAACTGAGATGCAACCACAGCACCTTGTCATCAATTAGCTGCTATTAGCTTTGGCAACTTACAGCAGGTTCAACATAAGTATCTGTGTGATTTTGGCCATTTATTTGTTTATCTGTAAATGGAGGATACATGTTACTTTTAAAGCAACAAGCCCCATTATCCTCCATTCAGCCCAGGCTAGACAACTTTGGAAGTTGTAATTGGACATGATGTTTCAATTATACATATGTACTTCTCTTCCAAGAAGCTCAAAGTAGTGCACTACGGCTGTCTTTCTTCTGATTCCAGTCCTGATGCTCTGAAGTAGCTCAGGATGAATGACAATGACTGGGTCAATATCTCCTAAAGAGCTGAATGATTTAGGGAGGATTAGAACCCAGATCTCACAAATCCCACCCTAACTATCCAACCACTACACTACACTAATCACCACCACCCAGAATGAAGCTTGTGCAGTGGCTACAGAATGCATATTGAGATTCGGGCTGGGTGGAAAACTAAGAGGAATAAAACAGAGTGTCTGGGAAAAGGAGATATATTGATATTAAAAGGGTAGAGAGAGGCATCTCATTGTGTGGATAACCCATTTCCCAGTCCACAGTGGGAAGCCCTGTTCTTATTTGCTTGTTTTATGAAAAGAAAGAAAGACCTTCCTATAGAAATCAATGCAGAAACCTTGCATTCTAATCTAGCTGGCCCAGAAACCTGGACACCAGTTTCCTCACCTCGTGGACCATCGCAAAAGACTAGAGTGAAGACGTTTTGTTCTTCTAAATTCTTTAGTGTGAAATATTATTTAAAAATACGCAGCCATGCTAATATAAATTTCAACACGACTGTCATTCATGGTCTCCAGATGGCAGGTTGGAAGGGCCAGTGGGTGGGAAGGAGACGCTTATGACAATCTTGCCGGTCGCTGTATTTATTTATTTATTTGTTTGTTTTTCTTTCATTTATATCTGACTCCTGCATGTCTGTGCCTGAAAAAGCATATTGCCCCCCCCAACACCCCAGTCCCACCATCCTCACAGGTCTGTTTGGTGATGGGAAACCTTCGCTGCTCCCAAGCTGTGGAACTCCTTCCCACTGGAATCTTTACTGTCGTTCCATGGACAGACCTTTCTCTTCAGGCCGCCTTTTAGTAAAGAACTGGCTGTTAAGAAGCTCTTTAACTCCCTTTTTGAAATATTCTTTACATATGATAGGATTTAACTTTTTTTAAAATGTTGGTAATTTATTGCATTTTTAATGTTTGTTTTTCCAATGTTCCATAAGCCATTTTGGGTCCCCTTGCTTAGAGAAAGTGAAGTGTTAAATAAATAAATAAATTTAGACACACACACAACCTTTTTTTTTAACCTATGAGCCGAGGATCTGCTGGATAGCTCTGTGCTTGGGAGTTCACTCCCCCACAGTGCTCCTATGAGCCGAGGATCTGCTGGATAGCTCCGTGGTTGGGAGTTCAATCCCCCACAGTGCCTCCTTGACCATGAACCACAGGGACCCCCCAAGCTCTGCAGTTCTAAGAGGATGATGTTGATGGGTTTCCCTCTCCCCATTTTAACCCCTTCCTCAACATTGTCAGTTAGGTTATCCTTAAAGTTGGTTGAAAGGTTGCTCGTGGGCTTTGTGACTAAATCAGTCCTTCCAGCACCCTAACTACTATATCATACTACCTATCCCTGAATACTACAGATCAGGTTCTGGGTGGTTTGCAACAGCTCCGTTGTTAGCCCTATACCAGCCTGAGGAAGAAGGTAAAACTGAGTGAGTATGTTGCCTATTGTTTTCATCCCCACATTGTAGATTAGACTGAACGCTGGATACAAAATCTTGCAGCGCGATAAAACTCTCATATGCTCCTAAGTGAGGCTGGAAGAGTGTGTATTGAGAAGAGACAGGCTCAGTCCAGCTTTGCAGTGTCGTCCACAGTGAATATGGCAGAGACAGAAATAGGTGAGGGTGGTTTCTCTGTAGCCAAAATGTCTCTCTTAAGCCAGAACATAAGTCAATTTGCTACAAGTGCCCCCGTCAGACCTCCATCAACCACACAATCACTTCCCGACTCGTTATGGCCACTGGCTTGGCTACAGACTAGTTGCATTTTTTAAAGAGGTATGAGGATGAACACTATAACAATAAGGTTCTGTGTTAATTGTGTTTTCTTCCGATCAATTCGCCCACATTTTAGGGATTAACTGCAACATTTTACTGCAGGCATCCACCTCCCTGTTCCATGGGTGGCTGCTTTTATCAGTTTTGCCAATGACAATATTGATGTTTCACCTATCATATCTTGTAGTGTTTGGCTCTGGCTACATATTTTATTTTGTATTTTAACTCCAGCTTCTTTACTCAGGATTGAATGGGCAAGATTAGCATACAGATGATCATAAAGAATAAGAAAAGAAGGGGATTTAAAAGAAGGTGAAGGCGACAGAGGACAGAAAGAAGGAAACAGTGTCAAAGACAGGGCTGGAGAAGATGAAGAGTAGGAAACAGAGGCGGAGGGGAGGAGGAAGAGACAGTGGCCAAGTTGCCCTGAAGCTCACAAAAAAAGATGATTAGGAAGACTTCATGCAAAAAAAAGGAGAAGCAGGAGGAGGCAGTGCCAAAGAAGAAGAACCTAATGATGGAAATAGTGCCAGAAATGCCAGAAAAGAAGACTGTGATGAAGACATCGCCAGAGATGAAGAAAAGATTGTGATGATTGGCAGCAATAAAATAAATAAAGTCCACCATGATCAAGATAGTCAGAAAGATGACCGAGGAGGGGGGGAAAAAGATAACAAAGAGGACTGTGATGGAGATGTGATCAAAGACAGTGTCAGAGAAGAGGAAAAACAACAAGGGAGGCGAAGACTGAAAAATAAAATAAATAGCTGGGAACAACGGTCCCCACTCCCAGACCTCCTTTCTCTCGAGGAAACCAGTGCCAGGCTAAGGGCCATGAGGACCAAGCCCAGCCCAATCCGGCTGCTGCTGCTGCAGCAGCAGGAACAGCAAATGCCAGCACAAGCGAGAGGCGAAGGCTGAGCGCCAGGCTTTCTGACCTGGTTCTGATGTAATGCCTTTTCATTGGGGAGGAGGGGGAAGAGGATGATGGTGGAAGAGGGTGCTGCTGTTTGAAGCCAGGGAGCCCAGGGAACTGCCGGAATCCCTTGCCATCCATCCTCCCTGCTCGGAAGCCTTCGAAAGAGGGTCCATCTGCTCCCTGTCTCCCCGGATTGCCTCGCCCGCCTCTCTCCTATGCTGTGGGTCTACTTTTGTGCCAGGCATCAGAAGGCATCTTCCCACTTCACCCTAACTCTAGGCGGACAGATGCTCTGCAGCAGCCCTTCTCCTCTCGGCTCTCCACTTTGCTTCTAAATGCATCTCCCGATGGACGCAGGGAGGGGGCTGTCTGGGGAGGGGAAGGACATCAAGGCTTTAAGATGAAATATCAATTCCTCCTGTCCTGGTGCAAACAGTCCCTTCTCATTATTAATGCATCATGTTAATGAGAGCTGGTGGGAGGGGGGGTTCCAGGGAAGGGGTGGTGCAAACAGACCAGGTCACTGTAATGAGGCCATAATTCATAAGGCAGGGGGGTTGTGCTTTATTCCTATGATTTATACCTCACTTTTCCTAGGGGCATCAAAACATAGCAAAGGTCTGGGGAAATGCCCACAAATTTGAAGTGGAAGCAGTGAATCTATTGAGCAGAACACTCCCTTATTCCTCCGTTCGCTTTGTTTAATTTCCTTTTTTTTAAAATTCCAAAACAAATACAAAAATACAAAATGCTTACCAATACAATCTAAACCACAGCGCTCCTCCATACCCGCGGGACCCTTTGGAACAATACTTTTAATACGAACCTCCTTTCCAAAATTGTATTGATTGTTGTTTAGAGGCTTTCTCCTTTCCTTTCACTAATACAAATTCAACAAATCTACCCCAAATAGCATAAAAATATTTGAATTTATTTCCCCTCTTTTCATCTTCAGTTCACTGATCAATTTATCATGTAATGCAATGTCCCGTACTTCATTATAGGGAAAGGGAAAGGTTGCCCTTGACATTTAGTCCAGTCATCTCTGACTCTAGGGCGCAGTGCTCATCCCCGTTTCCAAGCCATAGAGCCAGCGTTTGTCCGAAGACAGTTTCCGTGGTCACGTGGCCAGCGCGACTAGACATGGAACGCCATTACCTTCCCACCAAGGTGGTCCCTATTTATCTACTCGCATTTTTACAAGCTTTCGAACTGCTAGATTGGCAGGAGCTGGAACAAGCGATGGGAGCTCACTCTGTTGCGTGGCTTCGATCTTACAACTGCTGGTCTTCTGATCCTGCAGCACAGAGGCTTCTGCGGTTTAACTCGCAGCGCTACCATGTCCCACTTCATTATACCAATCCTCTAATTTAATATCGTTTTTATCTTTCCAGAATCTAGCTATTAATATTCTAATTTCCTTCTTTTTGTAAACAACAGCTTTCCAGAGTTCACAAAATTCTTGAAAAACAAAGTAGAAGAATATTTTCTTAAAATTCTATTTTTTTTAATTCAAAATTCCGCTAAGAAACTTGAAGATTTATATATTTAAGTAACAGGGTCTTTGAAGGCTTACCTTTTCTCTGTTTGACTCTTGAATTCCTTTATATTCAGCCATATTTGTGGTGCTGTACTAAAAGTTTCCATCTCTTTTCTTCCCACATTTTTCTCATTTTTAACTTCTATATGGCCTGCAGGTGCAACATTCTCTCCAAGCCTGGAATATCTGTTTCCAATTAATGGACAAGAATTTTGTTTAGTCTGGTTTTTTTTAAGAATTTGCCTAAAGTTATGATTTTCTTTATAATGGAGATAACAAAGTAAAGCTTTTTTAAAAAAAATCAAATGTGTTGGTGGTGATTAAGGTTACATCCACCCTTCCTCACAGGCCCTGCCTGACAAGTTAACTTTAGGTCCATGAGTCATTTCCTATGAACTTCTTGGCTATTCTGCAAATTCCCCCAATTCTTTGGGATACAGCCATGACACTTGAAGAGTTATCAACCTCTTATAACTGTCTAGTGTGTGCATATGTGTGATGTGCCATCAAGTCGGAACCAAATTATAGCAACTGTAATAGGGCTTTCAAAGTAAATGAGATATCTAAGGAGTGGTTTTATGGGTTCCACTCCCCCAGTGAGTTTCTGCTGCTGAACGGGGATTAAAACTCAGGTCTCCTGAGTCCTAGTCTGTCACTCTGTCTACTACACCACACAGGGAATCCACTGTAGAAATACTTAAAGACGGGGAAGTGGTCATATATTTTCAGGCAAGTAAAACAGGACAAAATGGAGAAGAAAGACAGGTCCTAGATTATGTCATGTCTAATCTCTCCAAGGGGGTCATTGATAGGGGATTATAGGATCTGTAGTCCTAGAGAGATGGTCCAGGTGGTAGACTTGTTGACTTATTGACAACTGACCCTACCCAAGGCAGCTGTAGTTGGGAGCTCTGGAGTTCCCTATCTAACCCTTGGCTACTTTTCACATCATGGAACCGCCATATACAAACACAGTCTACCAACCACTCTGTTCCACACACGTAAAAATACATCCATCAACATTCCATGGCTGCTGGGCAAGCTCAGTAATCATTGAGCTATTTGAAGGGAGGGTTCTATTCTACTTAGTTTTTTTTTCCTCCCTAAGGAGTTTTGTATCTCTACCAGCTTTCAATTCTATGATTCACGTTCCTCCAAGCCCACTGTTAAGAGATTCCCTCCTTCTGCTGGACGGGCGGTGCTACAAAAGGACAGTCATGCAGCCAGAGTGATGATGCAAGGGACACTTAGAATGGGTGACAACAGGCATTAACACCATGATCTGTTCAAGAACTCCCAAAAAAATGTCCAGCTGGCTTCTTCTTGGTACATCTTTACAGAATGGGACGGACTTATTGGCTACTTACATGTGTGGTCAGTGAAATTGTACTAACTAGCTGTCTACAAAAGGACAGTCATGCAGCCAGAGTGATGATGCAAGGGACACTTAGAATGGGTGACAACAGGCATTAACACCATGATCTGTTCAAGAACTCCCAAAAAAATGTCCAGCTGGCTTCTTCTTGGTACATCTTTACAGAATGGGATGGACTTATTGGCTACTTACATGTGTGGTAAGTGAAATTGTACTAACTAGGTGTGAATTGCTACTAATTAACGAGATGCCAGTTGCATTCCTGGTTATAGGCTTCTTTATGTGAGTGGGAGCCCACTAATTGACACCTCGTTAATTAGTGACAGTTGCCACTAATTGCCACCAATAAACACCAAGATGATGAGGATAATTATATATGATGCGCCCATTCAAATTGCTGATAAGATTCTAACCACTGAGTTCAGTAAATTATTTTCAAATTAATTCAGTAGCTGTTCGGATACATGTAATTCTGCTTTAACCTTGTACTTGCAGCTGCAATTGTCTTTTAAATACACTGTAAATGTCCTGGGCTCTCTGTACCTACTACTTACAATCAATTCACTTCTGATTCATGGTGACCCCAATAGGATTTTCAAGATGTACAAGATGTTCATGGAGTGGTTTTACCACACACATACATACACACACACACACACACACCCCAACAAATTTCAATGGCTGAGCAAATCTGTTTGAACCCAGATCTTCAAAATCTTTGCCTGACTCTCTGCTCACTGAACTGCAATTTGCTTGGGAAATGATAACAGAGAAGTCCAGATGAACTAGGGAAAATCAAGACACAGCCTCCTTCTCTTAGATCTGCTCAACACAGCAATGCCAGTCACGGCTTTCTGCCTTCTCCTTCGCCGGAGGCATCTGCCTCTCACTTACTTGTCCTGGGTGTAGCTCAGGCCTTGCCAGGATATTTCCCCCTCCCTTCCCCCCCCCCGTTTGCTGCCCGGAGAACCGTGGCAGCTAAAAGCAAGGACAAGCAAGAGGACCTGTCCACGTAGCAGACAGAACGAAGCGAGGAAGGCAGGCAAACGAAGAGCAGAGGGGGAAACTTGGCGTGGCTCAAAGGAACATGAAGTCATCCCGGTGCCTGGGTACCAAATGCCAAGACAAGATAGGGAGGGAGGCGAGCGGGAGGAAGAGGGGAGGCCACAGCACAGCTGAGCTCCTGCAGAGACCAATCATTACATCATCCCGGAGAGCCTTCTGGAACTGGAGAGAAAGATCCTGCACCTGTGGTGGGTGCCAAGCTCGTTTTCCAAATGACATTAAGGGCTTTTTTTTTTTACTTCTCCTTCTTCTTCAGAAAAACAGAGCAGCAACCTTTCCTGCAGCTGCATTTTGGCAGGCAAAGATCCTTGCGTGGGAGCAATAGGGAGAAGCAGGCAAAGGGCACGGCAACACCGTCATCTGCCCTGCTCTGGGCTCTGGGCTTCTCATCTCACTGTTCATTTTGATTTTGTTTTTCCCCCCTTTGACTACTTGACTAATCACAAGGAGACCCAGTGGTTCCCCATCAGTATTCACTGCGTTTTGTTCAGCCAGCAGAGCACTTGGGAGGGGGAGCGTTTGCATTTCCATGGAGATTGTTTTGTCCCACTTTCTGGACCCGTCGCTTACTATGGAAACGCAGGGGGCGTCGGTTGTCCGCTCCGCCTTTTTCCATCTTTGGCGGATCGCTCAGCTGCGGCCCTACCTCGACAGGGGGGCGCTCACTACCTTGGTGCATGCGCTCGTAATCTCAAGATTAGACTACTGCAACGCACTTTACGTGGGGCTGCCTTTGAGGTTGTTGCGGAAACTTCAGATGGTGCAGAATGCAGCGGCCAGACTCCTCACTGGAGTGAGAAAGCACCATCACATTTCTCCTGTTCTGGCTAAATTGCATTGGCTGCCCATCCATTTCTGCATCGACTTCAAAGTGTTGATGTTTGCTTATAAGGCCCTAAATGGATTGGGACCTCGATACTTGGTGGAACACCTGCTCCCACCAAGATTTACCCGTACCACCCGCGCGAGCCAGGAGGTGAAGCTGAGGAACCTAACGCCGAGGGAGGCCCAGAGGGAAAAGACTCGAAACCGGGCCTTCTCGGCGGTGGCTCCTCGCCTGTGGAATAATCTCCCTCCTGAGATTCGCGCGGCCCCTACGCTGGGTACATTTAAAATCCAACTAAAAACATGGCTTTACACTCAGGCCTTCCCTCCTGCCAGTATGTAACTCTTTTTTCTTGTCTATCTATCATTTATTATATTTTTTGAAATGTTTTTATTAATGATGTCAATGGATTTATATTATTTTAATTTTATATGTTGTTGTTAGCCGCCCAGAGTGGTAGAACATACCAGATGGGCGGGGTATAAAATCAAATAAATAAATAAATAAATAAATAAAAATAATATTTCTGGGACAGTTAAGGGATCTGCTGTGATCTCATTGAGGGTAGCATCCTTCTGTGGAACAGGGATCAATGGTTTAACATTCATTTCTTCATCGTCCTAAGAAAAACATTTTTAATGTTCAAGGTTAGAAAAAAAAGTTATATATATATATTTTTTTTTAAGAAAGGGTAATTGATTTCACATTATATCAGATGAGTGATGGAGCAGTAATTTAGAAATGATTTGTCAGTTCAGCTTTATATCACTTTGTCAACTGAACAAAAAAAGGGGGTGTAATGGGGAAGCAGGTGAAAATAATGGCAGAGGGAGTGACAGCATCCTATCGGGAGAAATGTACCTAGTTTGACCCCTTTTGCAACACATCTGCCCAGAATCATTAAACATTTCTGCGTGAACAACAACAAATATCAATCAGCTTTTGAAGAGACCGTATTGTTTCATTTGTGTACATTTTGTTGGAAAGCTTATACCAAACAAAACTTGAAAGTCGTTAAGGCCATGCAACACTATTTGTTCTTTGCTGCCAGAAATTAAAACAGATTCACCTCTCCCTATTCCCATCCCAGTAGTTGTTAGCTGAAGCCTCAATTCTGTCTTTCCTCCTGTTAATTCAATATGACATACGTAACTTCCTCCCTGTCCTCACTTTACTCACACAACAGCACTGCGAGGATCAAGCAGAAAGAGCGTGTGACTGGCCAAAGTTACCCAGTGAGTTTCATAGTTTAGTGAGGACTAGAATGTTGGACTGAGACATGAGAGATCTTTTCTCCTCTGAGCCACCAAACATGCCAGTTGACCTTGGAACTTACGATAGTAATCAAATTACACCCAACCCTACTAAGACTCAAATATGTGCTTTTCATCTTAGAAACAAGCAGGTACCTTAAAAACTTCAGGGTACCCAGAAGCGCATCCAAATCAGTGGACTAGCTGTGCTGACTAGGATTTTGGGGAGTCATAAACCAAGTACATCTGGAGACCCAAGGTTGGGGACCACTAAACTAGATCATTGTTTTGCCCCTCGATGCCTAGTTGTTCCTTTGGATCATGTGCTGACCTGTAAAAAAAAACACTGCTAAAAGCAAAAGGTTTCCACAAGGAACCACGTTTTTCAAAAGTTATTGGGAACCAGTCATGGCATACAGCCATGAACACTGAGCACTACAGTCTTGCCCCTATTGTACTCCACAGCCAAATAGGATGGTCTGGTGTAGTATAATTCAGCTCTAAACAAGTAGATGTAGCATTCAGGGAAAGCTATAGAATCATTATTAGACACCTGAAGCCAACCCCGATTGATAAAATCAATTACCTAGCAGGCATTGCACCCTGTGACTTATGGAAAGAGGTAGACGATAACAGGGAAGCATCTACATCAAATGCTGATCCACTC